TTCCGGCTCAGAGTATAAGCAAAAAAAAAAAAAAATCTCTTATAATAATGTTAGTGAGATCATGTTTCCTGAGGGAAARGAAGATAGAATAATGGAAGTGACAGGACACTTCTGGTTGTGCCCCTCTCCATTCCATGCATTTAGGGAAAGAACATGGTGGCAGAACCCCCCTCCTACAGCCACTTTGGAGAAGCAGAGGGTAGAGTTTCTTGATCCCGCTGCCTCAGTACATCTACAAATGAACCTATAGAGAGTAAAATGCTCTCATTTACAAGAAGGAGCTCAGGTGTTTTTCCCTCCAAATTGTGTTTAAATAAATGTTTGATCAAATGTTACCAATGTGGTCTGAGGGTACTTAAGGTGAAATGTATGGGTGGAATTCTTTTTTACCCCCAGTGTTGRGGATCAAACCCAAGGCATTGTACATGCAGGGTAAGTGCTCTCACTGAGCTACATCCTCAGCCCAACACTAAGTTTAAASTCTATTCTATATAAAATGTTCTTATTTATTTTTACACTATTGCTTGCAAAGGATTTATAATAACAAGAAACCTGACTTGATTAAAYTCACCCTGCAGAGAAAGGCAGAAAATAGTTACAAGAAGAAAATTTATCAACATGGAGTATAAACCTTAAATGGTGTCTACCCTAAAAACCAACAGAAGTTAGTTAATTAAATATCATAAATCTTCCTTTTGGGGGATGAGATGCTCTAATTTCTCATACAATATCTAAATATTGAGTTGCATRCTAAGTTGATGCAAATCTAAATATATATGTACACAGGGTACTCACAGAAACAAGCAAGAACATCTTATTGTGGAATAACCACAATAATTCTTTTTGGTTTTCCCAGCAACAAACTAATAGGAACCAGGGTTGGGGAGATTCCTAGGGCAAGGATCATGCCTAACACTGGCATTTAAGCTTAGACTACATGCTTCTTCCTTCCTCCCTCCCTCTCTTCCCTTCTTTTCATTTATTTACTTATTTAAACCATGCAAAGAAGCTCTCATGTATGTCCTCTTTAAAGAGAGAGAAAGAGGCTGGGTGCGATGGCACATGCCTGTAATCCCARCAGCTCTGAAGGCTAAGGCAGGAGGATCACAAGTTCAAAGATAGTCTCRGCAACTTAATGAGACCACAAGCAATTCAACTGTTTCCAAATAAAATTTTAAAAGGGCAACAAAAGRACTRGGGATGTGGCTCAGGGGTTAAATGCCCCTGAGTTCAATCCCTGGTAGGAAGAGAGAGARARAAAAAACAATCAGAGAGGATCCCTGCTGGAGCTCACACCCATAATTCAGGCAGGTGCAACATGGTCCAAGTTTGTCTCTGAAGAATACCAAATACATTCTCCTGTGGATTCTTCTCTCTYGAGTTTCAGCTCACAAGTATTCACCCAAGTCCTTTGCTTGCTAGCACCAGCACTAGAATATATAATAACAAAGTGCACTCCAGCATTTAGTCATGCAGTAGCCTAGCAATAGAAAAATAATCATCAAGGTTGACTCAGCAAACTGAAGAAAGAAAAACTACCAYATAGGTACTTAAAACATTTTGAATGTGGTTATCCCTTTTCCAGAAAAGGAAGACATTAATTTTGTTACAAATCCAAAGAAGAACAGATATAAGAATCTAGTTATCCGTTTTTAATAACCCTACCTTTCTTTCCCAGAGRTCCATTTACCATTCTAACAAACAGCTGGATAACACATAAAATCAGAAGCCACTATCTGTCCTGGCTCTATATCAGTTAAGAACAGCCAAGGTCCTTTTCCTTTCCCTTTCTCTTTTCAAGTGAACCACTAGGCAAYGTGCCACATAATTTTTTCCCTTTCGCCTGGGTTCCTTTTGCTTGCCAGGCTGCTCCCCCTATGCAATAAAGACAGACCATACAATAAACTATGAATATTCAAAGATCTAAATTTTCTCTATTACCTGCTTCTTTTGCCAAGTCAGGGTAATCTCTTGAATTCTCAACTCCAGGCTTCACAAACTAGAATGTAGAAGAAGATAATAAATAGAAACAAGTTACAATTAGAATTTTTCACAATAGAGCATCATAGAAATTCATTGACTATTTATTCAAACAAAAATATATTATTGAGAACCTGCCATGTTCCTCAACTGTCATTATAAATAATGTACAGTTCTTGCCCTCTGGGAACTTCTAGTGTAATGTAAAATAGGCAATTACGCTATAGTTTATCATAAGCGCAGAATGATTTGTGAGAGACATGTACCTAGCTTAAGCTACAGCAGAAAGTAAGACCATTTTTTTCTCTATAGAATAATTAAATATAACAGATAATTAATATAACAGACTCAAGCACAATGAAGAAAATAGAAAGTGATAAGGACATAAAAGTAATTTAGGATCAAATGATAATAACTAACATTTATTTGGCATTTATGTGTAATATGCATTGTGCTAAACATTTCATATGTAATAACTTGTCCAATCCTCACAATTTTGCAAATAAGAAAACAAGGRCACAGAGAAATTAAGCAATTTGTGCAAAGGCACTCAGCTAATAAGTAGTGTAACTGAACCATCAGACAGTCTAAGTCTACAGCCAACTCATGAAGGACSTTATATGCCCTATTATGAGGTCCTGAAGACATGGATTTTTTAAGAGAATGGAAAATAATGATATGCCACCATCTACTAGAAGAAGAGTAAAACCCCAAAACAATGACAATATCAAATGTGGCAAAAAAAAAAAAATGTGGCAAGAATGTGAAGCAATAAGGACCCTCATTCATTGCTTGGTGGACCTGCAAAAT